TTGCTGTGAATGCATGTGGTCTCTTACTGGTTTTTTTTTTTTTTTTTTTTTTTACAACTCTGTTAGTTACAGTGAGAAGCCATAAAATTCTTCCTATGCAGGAAAATGGTAAAAGCATTTTTGTGTGTGTCTAAAATTGTTCTTTCTTAAAAAAAAAAATCTTTTTCTGGTGTGGTAACAAAAAATTGAAACAGCAAATTCAACTAGTAGAAAGTGTAAAACTTCACAACTGATGAGGCGGTTGCATCGTTTTTTTGGTACAGTGACAGTCATGTAGCTTATGAGCTTTATCTAAAGTAGGTGAAATATTGATTATATTTTACTTTAGCGATCACTGACACTTAATGGATTGGAACTTAATGAGGGGGAGGTAGTTTGATTTTAAAACATCCTTGATTATCTAGATTTTTGGAATGGAGGACAGATGAATTTTCCTGTGATATTTGGATCAAAAACCATATAGGCAGCCTGTGGGCTCATCTTGAACACCTACAGCCGTTCATTCCAAAATGATAGAAATGGATATTGTGAAGTAAATAATGAAGGTGGCATAGTGAATTCCTGCTGGCGGAGAGTTAAATTATTCATATTGTTAGTTTAGCTAACATGGTTCATGCTGTGTGGGATTCAAGCACTATGTCAATGACTAATATTGCATAATTAAAAAGCCTCAGTTCCTCGGGCTTAGAATGTTGTTGGAATTTAGAAGCCATTGTTAACATCGTGGAAATATAGTTTTATTTGTATAAGTAGATGCTGTTTACCTAGTCATTTTGAAGTTTTTACGTTATCAAACCTTTGTGTAGCAGGTAGGCAGGAGGCCGAGGATATTTTTAACGATAGTTCATCTTGCAATTCCTTCCCCTTGCTTTGCAGACCACTCCACGCTGTTTTTCTTCTTGAAAGGCTGCTCTGCAGTAAACGGCCCGTTTCGAAAGCCTGGGGATCACACTCCCTCAGCATTGCACCGCCGCGTATTCCCTTTCCTTCTCTCTTGGACGTTAGGCTGCTGACCAGTTATGGGTTTGAAGGATCACCACCTCTGTAATGATTCAGTTTGGGGGACTGCAAAGGCATGGATACTTTACAGAGTGACATCAGCATTAGTTTATTACCTTCTCAATTTTAGCAACTCTGAAGGGAAAGAGACCTAATATAAACCTCTTTCAATTTTTGTACAGTATAATCTTATATACAGTATTTCATAGTCAATTGGACTATTTTATTGTATGTTTCTTCATGGGATGTAATTTTACATGCATATTTGTACCTTTGCGTACAACCTTTTTAGCGGTAGTTTTCAAGCTCAGCACTCTGAGAATGGGGAAAAACAGAGGGGAACCATGTTCTAGGTCACCCGGTAGTCACTTGTTGCCTTGTGATGTCAGTACCTGTGTGTGCTTTTGCAGTTGCTTTACGGCCAGTTGGATGGCAGAGCACATGAGAATGCCCTGCACAAAAGGACCACAGAAGGGTGGGGGCTTCATTAGGGAAAAGAAGAAAGACGAGACGTGCACATCAATGTTTGACTCGGAACAGGGAGCCTTTTACTTTGAGGGTCTTGAGTTCACGTAATCAAGATGTGATCTAGTGATTAGCTATTTGGTTTTTAAATCTAAAATACAAATTTTGCCACGTTTCCCTATGTGATTTATCTACTGAACTTCTCTCAGCTTTGGTTTTTTTAGCTCTGAATGGGAAATAACAACTACTCTGGAATTTTTGTGAGGAGTAAATGAAATAATGTACGTAAAACACCTGTTAAAATCCCTGGCACAAGGAGGCACTTCACGAATGGTAGCTATTATAATATTATTCGTAGTGGAACAGTATGCATAGTTTTTCATTTAAATGGCATAATTTGTATGTTAAAATTGTTAATACTAAGAATAACAAAATGAATGGAATAAAAAATTAAAGGACCACATAGGCCTGATACCTTTTCTTAGAATGAGTTGGAATTGTGTGTTATTGAGACACCTCAAGAGCAAGGCCTAGGTTTTACACTCTGTCTCCTGCTGGCCAATTCTGCAGCCTCACACTACGGCCTGCACATTAGATTCACGAAAAATGCTTTTAAATGCATTGCAATTTCTGGTTACTTCATTTGTTGTTTTTGTCTTGGACGTGAATTCGGAATGGTAATTCTTCTTGAAGTATGTCTACGATTTCAGGTTTGAGTCAAAGGTGGAGAATATCAAGTGAGGATACAGCATAGTGCCTATAGCTAACAATGTTGTATTAGAGACACATTTTAGGAGGGTGGACTATATATTAAGTGGTCTTAAGTGGGGTGGAAGGAAACTCTGGGAAGTGATGGACTTGATAATGGCCTTGATGGTAGTGATGGCTTCATGGATATTATTCCTAGACTCATCATGATGTGTACATTAAGTATGTACAGCTTTCTGTATGTCACGCATACCTCAGTAAAATGGTTTTAAAAAAAAAAGAAAATACCAAGTGAGGAAATGGACAGGAGTTATCCTAAAATGACAGTAAAGAAAATTCTACAGAATTTCACATTTTTTCTCTTCTATACATGTTTCTACCATTTTATTTTGAGGTAGAAATTAAAATTCAGTATACTGCTTAGTGTGGCTTTCAAATCAATGTATTTGTATTAAAATTTTTCTTAGCATGATTTCATAGGGATTACTAGAAATAAAACATCTGTCAAGAAATGAATTTTTTGCAGATGAGTCGTGTCAGAGAGGCATGAAAATTGATTGCTGTGATCTAAGGAGAATGCGTTGTGGTGCAGGCATGGTGGGCGGGTGTCTGTTGGTCTCCCTGTGTATACCAAGTGACTTTTAACAATAAGATGAGCTTGGTCTAAGGGATAAGGCCCCTTCAGTTCTTGGAATTTCGTTTATGGTTGTGAGGATTTGAGGTAAAAAATATAGGGCCATCTTTATTTAGAAGTAAGACTTGGAAATTGTTTTCTAAGGCCAATGTTTAACTAGCTAATAATAACAATTGTGATTGTGTTCAATGATATAAGTTTGATTCCTAAGAGGGTATTTATCCTTTTGCTGGAGTGGGTTTCACATAGTTTTAGAGAATAAAATTGGTCTTGCAGCATATATTCCTTTGGAGAGGGGTCATTCTGTTTTCTCATACAACTTTATTAGACTCCTGGCTTTCCAAAGCGGATGTCACTCTTGTCTCAGATTGGGTGACCTTTACTGCAATTGGCTGTATCTTTCCCTAACATTATAGAACAGGTGCTCGTCATGAAGTGTAATTTTGAACTTACTTCTGTGTAATATTTACTCAAAGCCGTGCTCTGAAATACAGGCAGTTCATCTATTTCTTGATTGTCTAAGACCTGTCTTTCCATTATGTTTCATGATTATTAGTGAGCTGCAAAACTGGACCATGTTGTTCTGTCTCCCTGTATCAAATTTCTCTTATTTGATTGTTTTGGTGTTCATAGTTTTCATCCTATGTATTTAGAAAGACCTCATATAGTACTTATAGTGAGAGGGGGAGGTAGCTTTGTTAAACCTCAGGGTTTCTTTTTAGAAAAATTTAGCTTATAGTGAAAAGGTGGAAAAGAAAATTATTTCCATAAGAACTAATGTACAGTGCCCCAGATTGCCCAATCTTGCACTTTTTAGTTACTAACTCTGCCCTAAAATTCTTTAAGTAACCCTTTTCATGTTAACAAATTAAGATATAATAGACATTTTAGAAATGGAGAGGATTCTAGGGAGTTGGAGGCTTGACTCATCTCTGCTGCCTTCTGGTATCAACTTCAGTCTAGTGACCAGCTGCTGTTTCTCAGAAGCACATCTGATGACAGATGTGCGCCATTGGGCTACTTCTCGCAAAGTGCAGAGATCAACAGAGTTGGCCCCAGTCTCTGTGACTGTTTCTGAGGCAATCTTTTGGTTTCCATGTCCCTGTCAACTGGTTTGGGTGGGTGAGGGATGGGGAGAGACTTTCTCCAGATTTTCTGGACAGGGGCCTGCAAACTCATCAGCTGGTGGCATACCACTGGGCCTCAGCAGGAGAGGCTGCCTCATCTCCCACCACTGAGTGGATCCTTCCACTAAGGCAGCCCAGCACTGGGACCTGAGCCCTGGTGCATAGGCAGATGAAAAGAAGGAGTCATCCATGGGACACAGTAGCCAGAGAGAAAGCGACAAATGGGAACTTAGAAGAGGTGTGCCTTGTAAGAACTCTTGGAATAGTTCAGTGGTGCTTGATATTTGTGGCACTGACAACTATTGTTACTTGATTTTAATACACCCTCAATTTTAAGTTGCATTTTGATTTCATAGATAGTGAAGATTGGAGGAAAGTAACTTCATGCATGTTATATTTGATGAAATAGACTACATTCCAGGAGATAAAGGAAGAGTTTGAAAGGGGGTGATAATTATATGATCTACAACATTTCACTGAGCTGAAGAAAGACTGGAGTCTGCAAATTGAAAAGACTGTTCTGGGAGGCACTAATGAAAAAACACGCATACCTAGCCATAGACTGCTAACATTTCAGAAGTCTAAGGATAAAGAGAAAGCCTTATAAGCTTCTGGACAGAAAGAACACTGATTTATAAAGGAAATGGGATCAGCCTGGGTTTAGGCTTTTCTTCTGCCAAACTGGAAGCTAGAAGATGGAGTGACACCGGAAAGGACTGAAAGGCCAGAATTCTCTGTTGAACTCTCATTCAGCTGTTAGGGTGAAAAAGAGGGCCATAGATAGGCAAGGTTTTAGAAAATTTATTAATGTTAACTCTAGTGCGCAGAGTCCATTAAGGAGATCAAATGCACCAGTTACTTTTATAGAGATAATTTAATGTAAGAATTGTTAATGAGGCATTTAAGAGCCGAAAAGGCAAAAACAAACAAAAAAATGTAACGCTCAAGCAGTACCATTTAACAGAAATACTGTGTGAGCCATCATCGTAGTTAATTTTCTGCTAGCTATGTCACAAGTAAAAAGAAATAGGTAGAAATAATTCTATTTATTTTTTTCTCAGTATATCTAAAATAATAACATATAATGCGGGAAAAGAATCTAGGCCCTTCCACGCGCTTGTGGGCGCGGGGGCCCCAGAGTGCTCGTGGTTCCGCACTAGGTGTCTGTGGGGGGGCAGGAACCGGAACCATGGGTGGGACCGCCAGCACCCGCCGAGTCACCTTCGAGGCGGATGAGAATGAGAACATCACCGTGGTGAAGGGCATCCGGCTTTCGGAAAATGTGATTGATCGAATGAAGGAATCCTCTCCATCTGGCTCGAAGTCTCAGCGGTATTCTGGTGCTTATGGTGCCTCAGTTTCTGATGAAGAATTGAAAAGAAGAGTAGCTAAGGAGCTGGCATTGGAGCAAGCCAAGAAAGAATCTGAAGATCAGAAACCACTAAAGCAAGCCAGAGAGCTAGACCAAGAGAGGGCTGCTGCCAATGAGCAGTTAACCAGAGCCATCCTTCGGGAGAGGATAGCAAGTGAGGAGGAACGTGCTAAGGCAAAGCACCTGGCTAGGCAGCTGGAAGAGAAAGACCGAGTGCTCAAGAAGCAGGATGCATTCTACAAAGAACAGCTGGCTAGACTGGAGGAGAAGAGCTCAGAGTTCTACAAAGTCACCACTGAACAATATCAGAAAGCTGCTGAAGAGGTGGAAGCAAAGTTCAAGCGATATAAGTCTCATCCAGTCTGTGCTGATCTGCAGGCCAAGATTCTCCAGTGCTACCATGAGAACACACATCAGACCCTCAAATGTTCCACTCTGGCCAGCCAGTATATGCACTGCGTCAATCATGCCAAACAGAGCATGCTTGAGAAGGGAGGCTAAAAACTCAGAACAAGCAAAACACCATCAACGTCAATTCCAGAGATGGAACATTTTTTTTCCTAGTAAGCAAGCAACCCATTTGAAGAGAAGACCACTAATGAGAAGACCACTCGAGAGACACCAGATAATGGATTCAACAGAATCATACCACATTTTGAACAGTGGCATTTTGAAGGACCAAAGCCTTGACCAGGCATCAGTCATTAGAGGACACCCTTCAGTATTAGTAAACCCTCTTACGACGATTGAAGGAGAAGGGCAGCCTGCCCGCTCCACCTTTTGGTACTTTCTGTTCAACCTCCACTGACCATAAAATGTTTCTCTTCTGAGCGAGCCCCATTATTTGGTGAAGCTCCACCCTAACAAAGTGGGATGGGTGGGGGGCTAAATGAACTGAAGTGGGGCGAGGAGAGAATCAGAAAACATAGCTCTTGGGGCAGCAGTGCGGGGTGGAATTGTCTAGGCTGCGGGATGTTGGTTTTGTCTCTCTTTCTTTTCTCCTTTGCTTATATAAGAGCAATTTCATTTTAACTTACTATGGCGATCATACAGGCAAAAACTTACTATGGCGATCATACAGGCAAAAAGGAGAGAAAATGTACCTCTTTTACTGGAATAATGTTTATGATTACAAGTGAGATAAGGTATTTTTATCCATATGAAGGCAAACTTGGCTGATATAACCTCGATAGTGAATACTGACATCTTTACTTCACTCACTATCCATAATAAATATATTTTCTGACAAAAAAAAATAACATATAATGAATATATAAAATTTATTTTCATACGAAGTCTTCAAAATCCAGTTTATATTTTATGGTTACAGCAAGTCTTGGATTGGACTAGCCACATTTCTGGGCTCCGTAGCCACATGTGGCTAATGGTGACTGTATTGGACATTGCAGCTTCTCGGTGCCTCAGATGTAGCACTCGGGGAGCAATGGGAAGAGGTAGTTGTTAAAACATTAAAACTTGGAGGAGAGGCTCTGTGGGACAGAGCTCAGACCTCTGAGGAAGGAGTACTTCCTAGCTGGTAGATTGCGGTCTCTGACCTCTGAGGAGAGACCTCTGGGTCTGGGACTGAGATTTTTCAAGAGTGTGCCAGTAGGTAGGGCCAGGGTCTCCAGAATGGGGTGCACTGAGGCTGACTTTGCAAGCTCAAACAAAGTACAAACTAGACTCAACTGCTACTGCAGCTGGGAAGCAGCAAGACCTGAGTGACGTGATGGGAAGCAAACTGGAATGAGCTCCTTGTTCTTCCACCACCTTTGCAGTTTCCCTCTGGCATCCCTTTTTGGGTCCTAATAGGGACCCAGCTATGAAGCAAAAATGTGTTTACAGACCTCACCTGACTCCCAGCCCCAACATCATGAAATAGAGAGTAGAAGAGAGGTGAGAAGGTGGGAGTCATAGCCAAATGTTGAACACAGTAGTCCATCTTAGGATAACACTTAAAAAAGAATTCTAACTAAATTAATCACAACAGATACCTCCATGTGAGGGAACATGGAGAGGATGGGACGCACCCCTGAGGATCAGTCTTTGCCTTGTGTATATGAATGATAGACCTGGATTGTCTCATAAAGTGCTAATGAGTTTCAAAGTACTGAAGTCTAAGCTTAGAGTTGGGTTGGGGGGAAAGTCAAAGTATTCCAACTATTTCATTGTACTGTGTTTGTTGGGGTAGTGGTTGAAAAAAATAGTAGGAACTGTGTTTTTAAACAATAGTAGAGAAAAGAGTATGAGATTTTTTTGGCAGGAGTTACGGGGAGTGTATGTTAACTTGACACAACCAGGAAAATCAGGAAAAGGAAAAAAGAGATAACAAAGTAAAATTAATATTAAACATAATATAAAATGGAAGAAATAAGTGTATCAGTTATATTGTTAATAATTGTGACTGGGCATAATTAACCTTTTAAAGATCAAGGCTGCCTGATTGTTAAAAAAACACATGCACAATAAGAGCTATGTATTTCTGTGAAATGCAGTGAAAACAAAATAATTTGCTTTAATATTAATAAAGGTTAAAAATTAATGGATTGGCAAAGCTGTGCCAAACAGAAAGAAATATGAGAAAACATACAATCAAAGGTTATAAACACTTAAACAATAAAGAAACAAATTACGTAATGATAACGAGTACAGTTTATAAAGACAGCAGTCATTAACCTGTATGTATCAGTCAAATTAGCAGCTTAATGTATGAATAAAAATGATTCGAAATTCAAAGTCAAGTTGATTTACAAAAATAATAAGGGACTTTATGTAATCATTTTTTCCTTAAAAATGTTTACTCTGGCTTCATGGAGGAGCATGCTAAGCTTTAACATTTAGCACATCTAGTGAGTTAGGTGGTGTGTGTGTGTGTGTGTGTGTGTGTGTGTGTAGGGGAACAGAAAGGCCACTCACAGCCACCTCTTGGCACCACATCTAAGAAGCTAAATGTAGGTATAGGGTGAGAGGTTGCAGTTTGGTTCAAGCTGGACGTTCCTTTGAAATCAAAGAGAAGAGGAGAAGTATTGATTGTTTTCTTCCGTAGGGCTTACAATGGTAATGTGATCTCTTTCTGTGGCCCAAGGTTTGCCTAGCCTTACCAATGAACATAATTTCAAAATTTGAGTCCTGGCAAAAATGTATCCCTTATGAAAAAGAAACAGGAGTACAAAATAGTGTAAAAGACTTGATGTATGTTTTGTCTACGTAAGTGTACTATGATTCTCACATTATTTCATGGCTCACAGTCCTCTTTATGAGACCGCTACCCATGTCTCTCAGGTCACTGAACCAGGATTATTGTCCTAGTTTCTGTCTTCAGGAGGAAGCCATTTCACATTGTCGTCTGTCTGGGGCTCAAGCTGTCCCATCTTGTATGGGGCCGCTGCTTGCAGGAAGAGTTGATAGTTTGCCTAGTATGGTTCATGAAAGGGATTTCCCCAGAGATGCCTGCATTTGACCCCAGGTTCCTTTTTCTTCCAGCTGACTTCATGATTGTCTATCTCTAGCATCTTAGTAATAAGACAGCCGCAGTGCCCATTCCAGTGAAGGATACTACAGGATAGGAAGCAAGGAGAAGGGTGTACTTTCTAAACAATGGTAACAGGTCATCCACCAGCATTTCCTCCCATACATTCTGTAAAACAGGTTATTATTTTTTTTTTTTTTTGAGACTGAGTTTTGCTCTTACCCAGGCTGGAGTGCCATGGCGTGATCTCGGCTCACTCTAACCTCCGCCTCCTGGGTTCAGGCAATTCTCCTGCCTCAGCCTCCTGAGTAGCTGGGATTACAGGCACGTGCCACCATGCCCAGCTAATTTTTTGTATTTTTAGTAGAGATGGGTTTCACCATGTTGACCAGCATGGTCTCGATCTCTTGACCTCGTGATCCACCCGCCTTGGCCTCCCAAAGTGCTGGGATTACAGGCTTGAGCCACCGCGCCCAGCCAAAACAGGTTATTTTTAAGTCCTGCTCATATTGGCACAGTTTAATGGTGGTGTGTTTACCTCTCCATTCCCACTATTATTCAATCATATATTGATTGAATCTGATGTGTACTTTAAGATAAAAAGCTGATGATCTTGGTTAAGGTGCCTCTAAAGACTCAGTTCAAGTTAGACAAAGAAATGGCCATAGGTCATTTCAGTGTTTTGTGGTGGTGTGTATGTTCCTCCTAGGTAGTTTTGATTGTGATTTTTTTGAGAGAGAGTGGGTACAAGAACCATGGATATGGTAACATTAACTTGTGAACTAAAATCAGAATACTTTTGAAACATAAATGTGTTTCTCAGTGCTGTAGGAGAATGTATTTAAGAAGGTCCAAGAGCATCCAGGACAGGTGGTACTTGTTCCCAAATGAGAACTGAAATAGGGACTTTAGGTATAAAGTAATACACGAAGTGTAAATGGGAGGCAATCATCTGGAAGGGGGAGATGAATGCTATTTAGGATTATGGCGGTGGGTAACCCGTAATTATAGTCCTAGGCTTTTAGTTATGGGCTGAGTTTTTTTTCTCTTGCATCGTTTTGAAGCTATGCAGGCACATTTTGAGATTGTGACAAAATTTTATTGTGAATTAAAATAAAATCACCTTTTCTATGTTCTGTGGAAAGGAAGGAAACCTTGATTGTTAAATTCTGAGTGCCATTTTCAATGGTATTTACACAAAAATGTAGATGACCAAATTAAGTGTCCTCTTGGTTTTATTCAGAACCAGGTCTTAATGCTGGTTAAATACAGTCCTTCCTTGATACGCATGGAGGACTGGGTTCCAGGATCCCTAAGGATTCCAAAACCCTCAGATGCTCAAGTTCCTTATGTAAAATAGTATAGGACTTTCATATAACAGGTGCACTTCCTCCCATATGCTTTCCATTATTTCTAGATGTACTTATAATACAATGTAAGCACTATGTAAATAGTTGTTATACTGTATGTTAAAAAATTTGTTTTTTAAAACATTGTGTTATGATTTTTTATTTTCTTTAGTTTTCTTTAGAGACAAGTTCTCATTCTGTTGCCCAGGCTGGATTGCAGTGGTGTGATCATAGCTCATTGCAGCCTCCAGATCCTGCGGTCAGGTGATTCTCCTGATGGAGCCTCCCTAGTAGCTCAGACTTTTAAGCCTGTAGGGTCAAGAGGCTTCCTGGGCCCCTGAGAGCGCAGGGATTCCCCGGAGAGCAGGGCTTCTGCCCCACAAACTCGGAATTCCAGGCACCTGCCAGCTATGCAGAACGCACATCCCTGGCCACACTTCCCCAATGCAGCTGGGGTCGCTGCAGTAGCTGCTCCAGTTGGGCCACTGCTGACATCCGTACTGATGTTTTGCTACATTGCAGATCAGAAAACTTTCTAAGACAGTGCTGTTTATTGCTAAGTTACCATTATGTAAAGTATATATTGCTAAATAATCATTATATAAAGAGTACCTGTGTTCCATAATATTTATGAAAACAGGCTCACACTCTGTATTCATTCTTTCAAAATATTTTTTGAATGCTTGCCAAGAGCCAGGTATTATATTGTGTATGTTGGTTACAGTGGTACACAAGACAAAGTTCTACCCCCATGCCACTTGTTTTAATGGTATCACCATATTTGTGTGTGTGTGTGTGTGTGTGTGTGTGTGTGTGTGTGTGTTTTCTGTAAGAATGCAGGCTCTGAAGTCGGGTGGAGTTTAATTCTGGATATACCTTTCACTGGTTTTATTTATGGTAAATTTGAGTTTGGGTAAGTTTCTTATGACCCTTGAAATGACATCAGCATTAGGAACGCTGATCCTTTGAGCAGTTGAAAATCTGCATAACGTTTGGCTCCCCCAAAACTGAAATACTAATAGTTGTCTATTGACCGGAAGCCTTACCAATAGCGGCAGAATAGATTAAGACATATTTTGTATATTATATGTATTACATACTGTATTCTTAGGATAAGCTAGAGAATATAAAATGTTAGAAAATCATAAGCAAGAAAAAATATATTTACTATTTATTAAGTATAAGTGGATAATCATGAAGGTCTTCATTCTCCTTGTCTTCAGGTTGGATAGGCGGAGGGAGAGGAAGGGTTGGTTAGTCTTGCTGTCTCTGGTGGTAGAGGCAGAAAAGATGGAAGGATAGACCTTGTAATTTCTGTCTGACTTTTTTGCTTTTTTCAGTTTCTCTAAAAATGTTTTGGCCGGGCACTGTGGCTGAAGCCTGTAATCCCAGCACTTTGGGAGGCCGAGGCGGGTGGATCACGAGGTCAAGAGATCGAGACCATCCTGGTCAACATGGTGAAACCCCGTCTCTACTAAAAATGCAAAAAATTAGCTGGGCATGGTGGCGCGTGCCTGTAATCCCAGCTACTCAGGAGGCTGAGGCAGGAGAATTGCCTGAACCCAGGAGGCGGAGGTTGCGGTGAGCCGAGATCGCGCCATTGCACCCCAGCCTGGGTAACAAGAGCGAAACTCCGTCTCAAAAAAAAAAAAAAAAAAAAAAAAATGTTTCTACATGTCAGTTGTTTTCTGTCACTGCTTCTTCTGCATCTTCTTCTCATTGTCTGGCGCTGTTTTGAAAGCACTCACCTCCATCATGTTGTCCACCTTCTGTTAATTCCTCAGGTGTGGTGTCTCTTAGCTCTGGAATTTCTCCAAGGTCCGTATCTTGAAACCCTTCAACCCCCACCTTTTTTGGGTCATGTTCACAATCTCTTTCATGATTTTCCTGGCTGGCTCTGTTGTAAATCATGTACAGTATCTGGACACAGTTTCCTCTAGCAGGAATTTGTTGTTTTGGGTGTGATGACTTTCATGGGTTTTTCTGTAACAATGGCATCTTCAGTGGTGTAATCCTTTCAGACTTTATGATGCTCTCTCTGTCAGGGTTCTCTTCCATACAGTTGACAGCCCTTTCCATAGAGTATCATGTCTAATGAATAAAGGTCCTTATGACCCCCTAATCTACAAGCTGAATTAAAAGCATTATGTTTGGGGGTAAGTCACCACTTTGACGTGTTCAGTGTTGAACTCATGGGGTTCTGTTGTCTAGAGACATTGTCCAATATCAGAACTTTAAAGGGTAGCCTTTACTGGCAATGTGCTTTCTGACTTCAGGGACAAAGCACTGATGGAACCTATCCAGAAAGTAGGTTCTCATTGTGTAGACCTTCTTGTACACCCAAAAGACTGGCAGCTGCTGTTTATCTTTTCCCTTCAGGGCTCAGTGGTTAGCAGCTTTATAGATTATGACAGTTGTGCCATAAACTCAACTGCATTTGCACAAAACTAGTAGAGATAGCCTCTCCCTTCTGTCTTAAATCCTCATACTTGCTTCTCTTCTTTGCTAATAAATGTCCTTTGTGCCATTTATTTTCTAGAATAGGGCACTTTGGTCTGCATGAAAAATCTGTTCAGGCAGTTATCCTTTCTTCTCAGTGATTTTCTTAGTGGCATCTGGGTACTGGTCTGCTGCTTCTTGGTCAGGAGAAGCTGCTCCTCCTATTAGCTTGAAATTTTTAGGTAAAACCTCTTTCTCAAATTATCAAACCATCCTTTGCAGGTATTAAATTCTCCTTTAAGCTGTCATATAATGGAGACTCGCCTTTTCCTCACATCACGTTAGAGTCTATAGGTAAGCCTTTCTTAGTAATCCAGCAATCACATAAAAGTTGCGTTTTTCAATACAGGATTAAAGGTATTTCTCAAAACATGCAAAGTTTTTGTGCTTGCTGGCATAGCTGCATTGAAGGCTTCATGAATTTTCTTTTTCTACAACAGTCCTTATGCTGGATTCACTTATATCGAAATAGCAGGAAACTGCAGCTGCAGACGTCAATCTGTGGTACTTACCAAGCAATTCAACTTTTTTCCCTGTAATGTCATGACTTTTCTCTGCTTCTTGGGAGCACTTCTAGCATCACCAGTGACACTTTGTATCGGTCCCATGATGTGATGCAAGGTTATAGTATTGCACTAAACGCAATGAAAAATACATGAGAACCTCAAGAGATCACTTTTTCCTGCAACCTGCAATTTACTGGAGAGACGAACTGCTCACTTAGAGATGATTAGCGTCACATAGTCTGTCGAGCAGATACTCGTAACTCTTGAGCTCACCTCAGTAGCAACAGGAGATTATAATACTGAATTATTATAGCAATACAGTATGTACTATAGTTAATTTTATGCAGTTATGACTTAATACTGCATCTTTACCTTTGCTTACATTTCCCTCCACTGCAGATGGTGCCATATACAGTCTGTTTGTGAGTATATATTTTGATAAATTTTAACTTTTTTTTTGAGACAGAGTCTTGCTCTGTCACCCAGGCTGGAGTACAATGGTGTGATCTCAGCTCACTGCAACCTCCGCCTCCTGGGTTCAAGCAATTCTCCCTGCCTCAGCTTCCTGAGTAGCTGGGATTACAGGTGCTTGCTATCATGCCCGGCTAATTTTTTAATATTTTTAGTAGAGAGAGGGGTTCCCCATGTTGACCATGCTGGTCTCAAACTCCTGATCTCAGGTGATCCACCCACCTCAGCCTCCCAAAGTGCTGGAATTATAGGCGTGAGCCACCGTGCCTAACCAATTTTAACTTTTCATAATAGATTTGTGTATATTTTATGATAGTGAATGATAAAATAGACTAGAATCGACATATTTTATGCTTTCACAACATACTTTAAAAAATTTGTGTTTCTAGATATGTGGTTAATCTGTGAGTTTTATCAAATTGCTGCAAATCTCCAAAAAATTTTCAATATATTTATTGAAAAAAATTCACATATGTGGTTTTACACAGTCCAAACCAGTGTTATAATTTCTCTGTGCCTCAGCTTCTCATTTGAAATTTAATTGATTTAACAGGGCTGTTGTGAGGATTACATGAATTATGCCTGTCAAATGCATAGAACTGTACCTGGCATGAGTAAGTACAATAAATGCTAACTCTATCTGTTACACATGCAGATATTATATATGAATTTAGGCTGGGTGTGGTGGCTTATGCCTGTAGTCCTAGCACTCTGGGAGGCTGAGGCAGGCAGATCACCTGAGGTCAAGAGTTCAAGACCAGCCTGGCCAACATGGTGAAACCCTGTCTCTACTAAAAATGCAAAAATTAGCTGGGCATGGCAGCACATGCCTTGGGACACTGAGGCAGGAGAATCACTTGAATCTGGGAGGTAGAGGTTGCAGTGAGCTGAGATCACACCATTGCACTCTAGCCTGGGTGACACAGTGAGACTCTATCTAAAAAATAAATAAATAAATAAAATGAATTTAAAACGGCTATATTCGGGTTCATGTATTTATTCAGTTCACATATATTTTCTTCCAGGATTTGAAACAATTTGAGCTGAGCACCTTCTCTGTCCCCTTATTTCTCTGTCAAGTCTTATTAATAGAAAGCTGTATACTTGTTTTGTCATGATTTTTAATAGTCTAATAATTACTTCATTGAATTACCCAGCTCAGCTCTTCTGTTTAAAAATGGATAGTAAACAGTCGGCTCGAATGCCGGTTTAGCAGGTTCTGACAAAATGTGGTGCATTAAAATAAAATTCATCATTAGCATTAAAATGACCTTTGAGGTTGTAGTCACTCATTTTTCTCTTTCAGTGTTTGAAACAGTCCTTCTGAGTCAAGTGCATTGCAATATCTTGTAGATATTGCCTGTGTATAATGGTTACGGTTCAACTTTAGATAAGTAATTTAGTCAAATCACTTTATCTCTAGCAATCTCCGTTTCCCATTTATTCTTACCCATTATCTGAAGTTCTTATCAACTTTCTCTCCATAGTATATGGCCTTATATATTAAATTATAAAGTAATTTTCTAAGCTAGAATTGTATAGAATTACTTATGTGTCAACCTACATGAAGATAAATCTGCGGATCTGTGGATGGCCAAATGAGCAGTACCCAAATTCAGAGAAACATTTAGGGCCATTGAAAGCCAAACCACTTTGGGAAGG